GCTGAACCAGAGTAAAGAAGGAAATGTGCAAGGTTCTCCATGACTCCAATACAGACTGCTTCATGGGACTGGTGTTCGCTGGTCTAAGAGCCAGGGATCATTGGCTTTTTTTCGGGAGCCCCTCTGGGTTAATCCTCCTTGGTATCAGGAGATGCTGAGGGCATGGTCTGCTGCCTGGTACCTGGCCAGGCAGCTGCCTGCCCAGGGAGGCCCCATGTCACACAGATGCTTCTGGGCAGGGGACAGGACAAATGTCCAGTGAGAGATGGAGGGGTAGTCAGTGATAGAAGAGGGACAAAGGACCACCGCTCCAGGGCCTTGCCTTGAAAGACCGTCACTGGAGACTGTGCCCATATAACCCTAAAAGGCAAGGCAGGTCTTTTCAGTTTTCCTGCTGGCCTTAAGCCTCAGTCACCTGCAGGTTTTACTTGCAGGTAAGGTCCCCTCTCACGTTGTTGCTCTTCCCAGATCTGTCTTCTGGGGCTGTGGTGCTTTCCACCACCTCCAGGAAGCACTCCAGGGAAAAGCCGCATCTGCTCTATGATGTGTCCCACAGAGCACTACATTTCAAAGCCTGCACCCCCGTCCTGCCCATGTGCCTCCTGCACTCCCCGTGCTCTCTGTCCCCCCTGCTCTCTTGCCATGGACTGGCTGAGAGCACGGGATTTCCCAGAGCTTTCCTGAGTTATTTTTAGTCAGCGCAATAAAGAGAACGGCTAGTTTGTGTTGCTATTTTTATAGCACTCATTAAAATGCTGTTGCTGAATATCCTGGTGGCTGCTTGCTTCCGCTCCTGTGCTGACTGCTCCTCTTTCTTTCCTGTTGCAGCACTGAAAAGCCCATCTGCATTCCATGAACAGCGAAAAAGTCTGGAGCGAGCCAAGGTAACTCCTGCAGCCCCCCTGATGAGGGAACTTGCTTGCATGAGTTGTGGGGTTTGAAAGCACCTTCCACCACTGTCTGCTCCTCTGGCATCCTCCATTCAGGCCCTGTGGCCAAGGATGAGGGTCAGGGCATCTCCCCTTCTTCCAGACATGGTGAGGCCAAGCCAGGGTTCACAAATGCTCTGGAGCACCCTTCTCCAAGCAGGGAAGGTTTAAAAGGGCAGAGGGGCCATCTGTGCCCTGAGCTATGGGATGTAAAATCCAGCCCCTGGGTTTTACAAGAGGCTGTGGGTAGGGCGTAGTTCAGCATGGCATTGGCAGTCCTTCCAGTAGATGTCCAACGAGCTGAAGTGCTGTTTTCCTCTACAGGCCAGGTCCACAGCCCGCTCCTTGCTGTGCTGGCTGCTCTCCCGTCCTGCTCAAGTCAGCAGGGTTAGAGCAGGACCAGCAGCAAACAGGGCTGATGGAGCCTAACTATTTAGCAAAAGTGCAGGAGGAATGCAGATGCCCTTTGCCACCTGGAATGAGTCCCCAGGGAGCTCACAGTTGTCATCAGATAGAAGCCTGGCTTTTAGCTCGGCAGTGCAGCTTGGCTATTACGACACACAATATCCAAGGGGCTAAGTGGGCCAGGCTCCCACCAGCCCCATTATCTAACTGCACTCACGCTTCCCTAAATATTGCTGAAGGCCGAGATAAGATAAGTAGCCATTTCCACAACACATCGAAACTCTGTGATGCGATCACTTTTTGGGAAATCACACTGGTTTTGCAAGCACCCGCCATCCAGCCTTGGTCAAGCTGGAGGGATGTCCATGGAAAGGGGAACAATCAGTCATGCAGGTTTTGCTTGAACAAGAGTTTGTTCCATTAATCTGCAAAATGTGCTTGCAGTCACATGGAAAAGGACCTTTGCAAAGAAGAATGATTGTGAAATATGGAGAAGTGCTCTTCTGAACTTAAACACACTCCAAATCACTTGCCCCAAGTCTCCTGCAGTAATAAACAGCTAGCATAAGAAACACAATATGACTCTGAAAAATTAGTATGCTTACAAAATTTCAAGCAATCCAAAGTATCCTTGAAGTGTCATATATTTTACAGTTTAAGTATACATTTTTGTCTCTTTGTCTTTCTCTTCAAAAGCTTTCACTGGCTAGTTGCCTGGGGAAAAGGGAAGGATGTTCTAGTGTATCCCAAACTGCATGCATTTTTGGAGCATGCTAACGAAGACACTAATGAGCACAGCCCAAAACAAACATATACTCCTTTGCAAGGATGCCCTGCTCAGAGCTGTGACAGAGAAGGAGCAGCAGCTGTTTCCAGATAATTACTCAATGGCATTTGTTGTTTAGCTGATATTCCTCCAAACTGATGTTCTACAAACAGAAAGCAGATAACAATAACCACTTTCATGTGTTTTGAAAGCTCTTCTGCTTCAGCTGATGCTAAAAAAGAACACATATGAAATCTTTCTCCACCATTTGCACCCCAGTGACACAAATGCAGCTTATAAACAGCAAAGGTCAAAAGCAATTGAAATCACAGCAGAAAGTCAGGCTAATGCAGTGTGAGTGCTGGGTTCAACATGAACAATGCCACATCTGTAGGACAGGAATTCAAGCTTAGCCCAAGCCAGGACCTGATCTGAGGGTTAGCTGAAAATGCATTAGGTGAATTTAATTGCACTAAGTGCAGACACCAGCTTGCTCTGACCTGGCACAGGAACCAGGGAAACCTAGACATGGTCCAAGCAAGGGATTGTGTTGGTGAAAATAAACTGGGGAAAAATATGGGGGGGAAGGGTAAGGAATTGTAAAGACTTCAGTAAATAAAATGTCTATTATTTGTTTAAACATGTCACTGGCTATGTTAGAGGCTGGCATCAGGCCAGCGCAGCAGACTTTGAAGTCAGTGTCCTATAATAGATTGCTGGATTGGAGGACAGAGAGCAGGCTGACTTTCCTGAGGCAGTCTGGCTCAGCAGGGCTTTAGCACTTACTCCCAGCACCCCAGCAAGCGCGGCAGGGAGGGACTGCGGGGGACAGCTGTTGTGTCTCTGCCCCAGAGCAGAACAGCCCCATCTGGGTCATTCCTGGCAGATGTGTGACCACCAATGGACATCCCACCCCCCAGCAACCTGCTCCAGTGCTCTCTAGCCTGTGCTGTTAGCAAGTGTCCCCCGACTCCCAGCCCAAGCTGTTCTGTTGAAGTTTAAGCCCATTACTTTTTATCCTATATGCATGCACATGCAGAACTGTTTATCTTTTTTCTTGTAGCACTTTTAAAAAGTATTTTGCATCCTGTTTCCCGATAGCCATCTCATCTCTGGACTGACCAACCTCCCCTCCCTTCAGCCTCTTCTCATTGATCCCATCTCTGGCTCAATAATGAGTTCTGTAGGTGTCGTCCAGGTCCTTCCCATGGACCCTTCCAGATGCAGGGCACAGAATGGGGCCTTGCTATTCCTAGGGCCCATCTGACATCCTTCGGTGTATCTCCTAGAAAGCTGCCTGCTGGTCTGGGGATGTGGTTCAGCTGCTGATCACTAGATTCTCCAGAGCCTTTTATATTTTTTTCTCTATTTATGGAGTAACTAATTTCTGCGTAAGGCCACTGTCCAGTGACCACTACAGAAGCACCTCTGGTGGATTACGTCTTCATCCACCCCAGTGCTTAATCAGCTGGCTTAGCAGTGGCTAACTGTGACCTGAATGCAGTCCTTTCCAAATGTCCTTCTTGAAATTGTATCAAATGTATTTCAGATCATTTCTTCAATTATTGCAAATCATGGTGCATTGTAATCTGTTAGTCTTGAATGATTCAGAGTTAAGGAGTATGTCTTCTATCATCCAAGGCATTAATGAATATATTGACTAGTAGGAAAAATTGCTGTGTAACGTGACTTGATATATTCTTCTGTTTAGACTGTAAGCCATTCCTAATTCCTCTGGTGACCTACAGCTATGCTCCTTTTTTATGTTAGTCTTATCCAGACCAAATTTCACTGGCTTGCATATGAGAAAGCCATGTGAGATAATGTCAAAACATGCTTAAAGTCAAGCTACATGACATTCATTGTTTATTCCTGTAACAGAAATCTGTCATTTCTCCATAGAAGGAAATTAGGTTGGTGTGATGTGGTTTGTTCTTGATGAATACATCCTGGCTGTTACTCACCTCTTTGCTATCTTCGAAATCCATTTATATAGATCATTTGATTACTTGGTCCAATATCTTGCTGACTGGTTTATAATTTCCTGGTTTCTTCTCTCCATCTCTTTTAAAGTAAGAAATTATGCTCTCCTTTGCCCAGTCTCCTGGAGGCCCACAGATAGTTGCTATTGATCTAGCCTTGTGTATCTCAAACTGTTTGGGAACATTCAACTCATCTGAATATTCTCCAACCTGTTTCTAACCTGAAAACTGGAGCTTCTTCTCTTTTGTTGCTGAACGTTCTTGGCTTAGTCATCTGACTGATAAATAGCCATTTATCTTTTTAGTGAGGATGGTTTAAAAAGGCATTAAATCCTGTAGCCATGTCAGCAGCATGCACAATTATTTCTCCTGTTTATGGAACATGGACAGCACTTTCCATTGCCTTGTCCTGGCTACAGAAGTCCTTATAAAATCTTTTTCTTATGATCCTGTACATTTTGTACTGTGGGTTTTTCAATTTTGTTCCAGCTGCTTGTACTATTCTTTTATACTTATCCTTAAATCCTATATTTAACCTCTTTGAACTATGTACATTTTTTGTACTATTTCTTCTTGCATCTCAACTTAGCAAACAGCTAATAATTTGCCCAAGTTGTGTTCTAGCTTTTCTTCACCAGGGGATAAGTTTATATTTGTATTCTTGAGGTCAGCTGCCCTCAACACTGACTTCCTTGGCCCTAAGGGACAGCATTATTGTAGCTCTGCGTGCCTTTCTGTTCCCAAAGCCATGAGGATGTTGGCACAAGGCTCCAGGACCATGTTGATCACAAGCTCAGCTGCAAAGTGGATTTTCCCAACCCCACATCATAGCTGGGGTGAGGAACCACAGAGCACAGGAGCTGCAGGACTGCAGGAAGGCTGACCTGGGTAGAGAGTCTGGGTATCTTCATGACTTGCTCAGCCTTATATCTCACTCCAAAGTGCCAGGCTTCCCACAGAAGCCATTGTTAACAGTACACTCTGGAGCTGCCTTGGTGCAGCTCTCAAAGGCGACATGGTATGATAAGCTAGGAGCAGATTCACCAGTCCCAGTGAAGAGGTCTCATCCTTCCCATGAGCTCTCATAAACTTCAGGCATCACAAGCCCAAGGGAAATTGAAAAGGACACAGCTTAGAAGTGGGTATAGTGAACAGTCAGCAGCTCCATGAACATTGTTCCCTTTGTGAAGGACTTCTGCCCAAAAACAAGCCAGTGTCTGAGTGAAAAAAATGCCAATTAGGAGCTCACTCAGCGCAGCTTGTGATAAATCCCAAAGAACCATGGGGTGGCACAGAGGCAGACACTCTCTGTACCTTATTGCTGCCCTAGCCAGGTAACTCTCTGCATTTGTGTTCTGCAGACTGAAGATTATCTCAAGCACAAGATCAGAAGCAGGCCTGAGAGATCAGACCTGGTCAATATGCACATTTTACAAGGTAAGACTGCCTGACCTTCTCCCACATACTCCTTGTGTCTCCTGCCTTGTGACTCATGTCTCTCCTGCTCCACTTGGGTTCCCTTCAGAAGTCTCATCATGATCAACTTTGCCCCAGCTGCTCATGAGAGGCAGATTCAAATGGGACACATGTTGTATGGAATTCAGTCCAGAGCTGGTCTTCAGAAGGCAGAACACACATTTATTCCCTGACAGAAGCAGACCCAAGGCCATCTAATCTTTGTCCCATCTCTGGCAGGGACCAGTATAAGATGCTTTAGAGGACAGTGGGGTAGAGAACAGCTGTGAGAGAGGACTCTGTTAGACAGAGGTGCTGACGTCTGATCCTCATGAAAAACATACCCAGGGCATTTGTTGTCCAGGGCACTAAAATCCCTGTAGCAGGTGGTTGCAGTACCCTCCCAAAGGTGGACATCTTTTCTTTTGCCATAATTCTGGACATTCTATGTGACAATTCATGGTGATGCAGTTAATGAAGCACAGCCATATGAAAAGGGTAAGCCCTGCTATCAGTCCATTAACCACAACTCTTCCCTCTCCCATCCTGGTGTCCCTCAGCCAGAGAGCTGGCACGGCTCTGCTGCATCCCATCACAAACAGCAGAACACTGTGGTGTCCCTCGTTATCTCCAGAGATAACGAGCTCCTTAGAGACAGGGAGGATGTGCAGCCTCTCCCCTCAAGTCCTGCCAGTCACCTGGAGGAAGTAGATCACTCTCTCGCAATTGTAAATGCTGGCCTCTGCTCTCAGCATGGATGAAGTCTGTATTTCTTTTTCCTCTGGCACGCAGGACGGCTGAGCCAGGGGCCCATGCTGGATCAGTGCCGCTGCCTTGCTTTTCCCTTGGGTCTCCATCCCTAAAATTAGCTAGCACCATTGATTGTTTAACAGGTGGAAAGTGTCTTTCCCTTAGGTTAAATAATAGAAGCAATACAGACTGGAGTTGGGACCCAGGGGCTGTAAATCAGATGTGGAGGCAGCTGCAGTCACCAGGCATGGACAGGGCCAGCCAGACACAGCCGGAGGAGAGGTGGAGCAGAGACTGCCTGGCTGTGTATTGAGCAAGCTGGTTGTGCTGCCCCACACACACCTCTTGGCCAGAGCCTCTGCTCACACCTCTGTCCGTCATGCTCTGCGTTTCATGGAGGTGTGCCCTGGCGTATCATGGACTTACGTGTCCAGTTGGTTCATAACAGGATCTAGAGGTGATTGAAATTGGCCAGCTGAGACATTTTGCATCATCTAAATGCCTTACAGGCACACCTTCTGTTACTGTTCACCTCAAGGAGCTCATGTGCGTTCACTGCCCTATACTGCCCTATATAGTCTGAGGCCAGAAGTGACCCTAGATCAGCTCTCCTGACCTGCAGAGAATTTTTCTGTGGTATCAAGCCCTGTAGCTTGTGTTGCCTACAGTATGTATTCTAGAATAGTGTCCAGTCTTTGAAAATAGCACAACCTAGATGCAGCCCTTCTTAATTTAGACCCCCAAGGGTATAGGCATGGTCTAGTTTAGAATCCTGCTACCTCACTGCTCACGCCTGTGCCACCAGAGGAGCCAGATCACCTTTGTTCAGGAAATTTTTCTGTTTAATTGGCTACTCTTCTGTCACCACTCAATAATTGGGGACTTCTCAGCTGGGTTTGGTAGGGCTGTAGCCTCCAGATCTAGCTGTCTTTGTTATGCTCCTCTCTGGCTTGTTTTTCCCCTGAAGGCCTGGAGCACTGTAGTCACACCGCCTCCAAATGTCCACTCCCAAAGACTCACCTTTTGATCTTCCAGTGTAAGCCATTTACTCCAGTTGTCAAATATTGTTAATGTTATTTTCTCCAGCTGTTCCCCAGAAGTAAGGATCCATCTGCATTAACCCACAACGGCCAATGCCTCCAGCTCTTGCCTGGAGCCCACTGTGGCCTTCATGTTAGTCACAGCTTGTTAATGAAGTTTCCATTGCAGGTCATTCCTGGGCCTTGGGGAGGATGCTCCAGCTGCAGGCTGGGTTTGCAAGCCTAAGCTAGTAGACAGAGGCTCTTGCTTGGGAATGGAGAAGCTGGACCTAAGGTTCACAGGAGGACCCATGTCCCAAATCCCACCAGCCCCATCCAGTCCAGCATCCTACCTCCCAGCCCCAGAGCAGCTCCTGCTGTGCCATGCTTAGGTTTTGGCCGCAGCCCAGAAAGGCTGTGCTGAAGGGGAAGCACATTCTCACTGAGCCCTGTGCTTACAGATGCCCCAGGTCCTGAACTGATGCCTTCCATTTGGCCTTTTAGACTCAGCTGCAGAGGGGTCCATTCAGTCTACTCAAATGAAGCTGAAAAGAGCCCGACTGGCAGATGATCTCAATGAAAAGATTGCTCTCAGGCCAGGTCCTTTGGAGCTGGTGGAGAAGAATATTATTCCTGTCGACTCAGCTGTGAAAGAGGCCATAAAAGGTAGTGGAAGTGAATGTGCATGTTGTGTTGTGTGCATGGCACGGGGCAGGGGCTGGCAAGGTTATGAGGATGTACCACAGTGACTGCAGAAACTGACCAGCCTGGACTTAAAAGCTGCATTTATTGCTTAAATTTTATAATTTTCACAGTAAGCAGCCCAGTCCAGCACAGCCTGTGCTATCTTATCCAGACCTATGAAAAGAGAGTTCTCATCTTCTTAGAGCAATGACCATGGAAACATGCACAGTTGCTCAGCCATGTCTCCTCAGAAAGAACCTCCCCTCTTAAGCCTTTGAGCATGTAAATGGTACTGCTGGAGACAGGACATTCCTTCCTCCCTCGCGTGGGAGAGGACCTGGATGCACACGTGTGGTTGTGAGGCCAGCCTGAATTCTCCCACTTGTGCCCTGCCAAGCTTTTACATCCCAGTAGATGGGGGTGAAGTGGCCCCAGTTCTGCGAGGCTGCAGTTCTCTTTTTTTTTCCACTGATGCTAGTGGTATGCAAGGCCCAACAGAGCAGGATGCTGCATTGCTGGGTGGGGAAGTATCCCTGGGGTGCTAAACTGCTGGAGAATATGAGGAGCAGCCTGCCCCCCAAAGCAGGGTACACTCCTACCTACCAGTACCCAGAACTTGATTTATGCCTATGCTTCGTTTTCCTCCATCACCTACCCCCCAGCTGGAGGAGGGAGGCAGAATCCTCCGCAATTATTTGCCCCATGCTGCCGCAGGGAGGCTGGTGCAGGAGCCGACACAAAGCAAAAAGGTGACTCAGATTTTGACTCAGGCCCCAGTGCCAGGACAGGGAGGTCCAAAACAAGAGAAAGAATCAGGAAAGCCTGTGGGGTCCTGCAATGCCAGGACAGCAGTCTGTATTTTTGAAGCCTGGGGCCATCTCCGCATGTCCAAATTGGCCTTCAGGTCTCAAGTGAGGCACTGAGAGATGCTCTGCCCCCTGGGAACTCCTTGTTCTGTTGCTCCTGGTTCCTCAATTCATGGGATTATTTCCGTTGGCATAATCCCATGGTAAGTGCCTGTTCTGGGGCTCAAAGCTGGGGACAGTGGCAAGGCTCTGGCTCAGGAGGGGTCTTTGAATGACAGGAGCGATGCCAAAAATAAGAATTGAAACAGGAAGCACTTTGACTTTCATTTCATCTCAGAAACCAGCATAAATGACGTGGAATATTGCAGGCTCAGATACTGCTCTGTCTTGCCCTGCAATTGTTCCTGCTCTTGGTTTTCCCACTGTGAAGTGCACGCAGCGTTCATACAGCGGCTTCTCCAGGCTGGTCCTTGAGCTGCTCCATTTCCAGCATTTCACAGCTCTTGCCTTTGAAGGTGAAATGTTCCAGGACTCGGCCTGAAGAGGAATTTTTAAGGAGAGTTCAAGTAAAATCTCCCCAGCCACTTATCGAAGGACAGAAGAGTGGAAAAAAGAAGTTTAAAAAAATCCCCCCTTTATAAACATTCAAGGCAGTTTGAGCACGACTTTATCCACTGGAGCTGAGGCTTGGAGGCTGGGCAAGTGTGCTTGAAGCCTGAACAGAGTTTCTCTCCAGCTGCCTTGTCAGGAGCTTGTGGTAAACAGAGATTTACAGTAAAAAATTGTTAAAAACAAAAAGTCTGGCTTAAAACTTTGCTCAATTTTAAATTTCTCCCTCTCGCAATGCCCTTCTATCACATTGCTGGGGAAAAAATGTGTCCTGTAAGCCAGTTTTATCCCATTTAGGGTGAAACACGCAGCACATTAGGGTCAAATGTGAAGTTACTTGGTACTGTTGGGTGCCATGAGAAGGAGGTGGTGCACCTGCACCAGGAACACAATCCCAGCCCTCAGGTTTCTGCAGAAGAAAGCCCCAGGCTGAAGGATCCTCAAGCTGATCTTCAGAGTCAGAGGTGCCTTGTGGTGCTCACAGTTTGGGGCAAAGGGCTGAACACAGAGCAGAGATGAGCACTGGCACTTCTGAACGTTAAGCCTTTTGTTTTTGCAATACCAGAAAGATGACAGGATTTAAAATCATTTTACTTTAACCTTGGAATCTCAACTGTTTATACAGTGGAAAGTTCAGCTGACGTGTTCCTCTAATCACCTCCGGCAGGGTGAGCAGAAAGTGCCAGACCCCAACCGAAAGCCCTAACGTCCCAGTGACAGGAGGCTGCCAGTGCCCTACATAGCTGAGCAGTGATATAAGAACCCCTTTTTACCAGGCCCTTGTCATCACTTTGTCCAATACGCTTGAGAGGACAATACCCAGTGCATTAGAAACAGCCCCGAGCAAACACCATTCTGCCTGAGATTACAGCAGAGACATGGGATCGTGAAACAATACGGTCAGCCCCGGGGCTGAGTGAGAGCAGGACAGATAAGGGCAGCATTCCCCACCCGGCACAGGCCCCCGGTATCAAGCAGCAGGATGCAGCACATTCCTGTCGTGCTCCGGGCTGCTGCTGTGTCCTGAAGGTCCCTTGGGCTCCAGTATTTGGCACCATTTCTCAACGCATGCTTATTAAATGCCAGCCCAGCAGGAGTTTTGCAGATCCACAAGTCCTCCTTGCTTGGTGTCATTTTTCCCAAGAGGATGCCCACACTTGTCTGCAGGCATGGGGAGCAGCTCCTGCCCAGCCCAGGTGGTAGACTATGCAGCGTTGCAGTTCCTCAAGGAAGACCCAGTTTGGGTGCTGCCTCTGACAGAGAAGGGACAGGCCCTATTTCCAGGGACATATGAGGAGTCCTTTTCCTGGAGAATGGGGAGAAGAGGCTCTCCATAGGATGCAGTCACTCTCATATCCCCACCCCATATGGTGGCTGGGCATCAGCTCAGGACAGGGAGCCAGGGCTCCCTGCTTCCTCACCCACCCTGGCACCATGGGCCGAGCTGGAGCAAGCAGAGATAACCCTTATCTCTCAGATAGGGGCTGGGTCAGAGCAGGAGGGTGTGTGTCAGTGAGAAGGTGCACATTGCTAGACCAGCAGCAGGGACAGGTGGAAGCTTGTCCCCGGGCCCTTCCTATTTCCCCATTTGTCACCTCGCTATCAGCGTGCCAAGCTGTCTGACAAATGCCAGACGGGAGCACGAGGAGATTACGAGTGTGGCCGCACTGCTCCTTCCTCTACCCCCACCTGCAGCCCTCCTGAGGCTCACATGAGACTTTTTCTTTTTCAGCACTTTATTTATCAGCAAAAGCCGGGGGTCAAGAGCTTTTGCCCATCTGACTAGGAGATAGCATGCTGGGAGCTTTACAGGGGGGAGAAGCAATGTCTGGGGCAGTCAGGAGGCAATGGTAGTGGTTTGAAGCATGTTGTGTGGCTGAAGCTTGTGGACAGAGACAGGATCTGGAAGCCTCTGTCCAGCTGCAGCCGGGTCCACGCGTGTTGGTTCTTGTGCCAACAGATGGGTCACCCCCCAGGGTGGAATTCAACCTCAGTTCTTCTGCTGAGCACAGGATCCCACGCATGGTGTGGGCTTGGGGTCGGGATGCTCAGCTGATGGGGAGGGCGACTCTAACGCCCCTCTCCCCAGCTCAGCCCAACAGTTGTGTAGGATGGCAGAGCTGCTCCTGCACCAGCCCCACCTGCCTGCGAAAAGCCTCCTGTCCCTGGCAAGCCAGGCTCCTCAGAGGCCTCCTCTCTCCCTCTCCTGAGTAACATGGTCCATGGCACAGGCCAGAAACTGATGCCACCTCCTCTCCCACCAGCCTTGGCCACAGGGGCATACCCAGGACCTGCCCCTGCAGATGACTGGGGATGGGAGGAGGTGTCTGAGCTCTCTGAGTGCCACATCCTTCGCCCGCGGCCAGGTCTGGAGGAGGTGGGCACAGGCATGGAGGCACCCCACAAGGCTCACCCCATCCCTCCCACCACCGTGCTCGTCCCTCTTCCAGCAGGGCAGGGCCCTGACCATCACCCCTTCTTCCCTGGCAGGC